TTTTTTTTTTTTTTTTTTTTTTTTTGGCGAGTCTTAAATGCAAGTTGATGCCTTTGAAGTCCTCTGATTCATCCCAAGCAAGATCACAATTACGGTCACGTCGTCATGGTACTTCCTTCTCCTCCCAGCTGGTATATTCATCAACTCTTCCATGCTCAGACCTGCATAAGCGTTACTCAATCATATCATATTAAAAGTAAACATCTACATTGAGGCAAACAAAATTAAATTTAGCCTAAGATCTTGAAAATTTACCGGCAGAATCAGCTGCTCTAGCTACAAGCTGCTCTATGAGAAACTTTGCTGGATCACCCAAAGGATTGCTCAAGATATAAGACTCTACAAGCTTTACAGCCTCATCATTGCTGAAGAAGTCAAATAAACCATCACTCCCCACTATAACAAATTGATCAGAACTTGAGATTCTGTGGACATTCAGTGATGGTTGAGTGGATATGTATGGTGGGCTTTTAAGATCACGAACTCGAAGGATTCCCATCAAAGCCTCATTCAGATTTTTCTGCACGAGAATAAAATAAAAAATCAAATCTATGTTTGGTACTTGGACAAAGATTTATTCTTTGCAACAGTCCACTCAGAGTCACAGTTAGTAGCTTGAATTTAAAGGTTTATAATGATCACCTTTACTTGCTAAAATCTTTAGGAAATCTATTGGCTGAAGCGTAAGAGAGAATACCAACCTTTTTCAAGTAGCCAACTCCAAAAGCGCGAGTAACCTTCAGTTTCCCTTTCACTTTTCCTGCTATAACGATCTTGGGATCATCAGGATGATCAGCCAGAAGTCTTGCCCTTTCAACTTCATTGTCAACAGTATGATTATCTGTAAGCTGTATAGCCTTGAGTCTCTCACTCTTATTCATACGGTCAACTGTAGTGCATGTTGCCAATACTGCTCTGCTGTCACCTAGATTAAGTGTATATAAATCATTACCATGAAGAAGCACAAGTAAAACACAAGATCCAATAGAAACTAAATCAGGACGTTCCTCCATTTCTTGCTCAACCATGTACAAGAAATCATTCTCAGCCTGACTAACAGCACGTTGAAGGATATCAAGTACCCCATGTGAAAATGAATCACATGATGCTTCTAACTTGGTAGATGGACTATCCTCTACAAAACATCCATGACTAGAATCATTTATTCCCTTAAATTTTGACAGAGATTGATCTTCGTGATAAATAAGTCTATTATCCAACTTATTACATTGCAGGGATCCACCCAAACCCCCATCATTATAAGCTTCGATGGAACTCGGCTCCAAATCCTCAATTAACTTATTAAAGTAAGATATGATGGTGTCATACAGGGTACCAGCCAGAAAGTCAGCTGCATCTCTTCCATTAAAGCCGTCATAAATTGCACAGAAGAGCCATCCATTTTCTTCAGAACAAACTGCTTGAACTCTATCTTCACCAGCAGCTCCTCCTGCCACTTGAACTTCCGTAGAATTAAGAAAACCTTCACTTCTGGAAGGATCACTCATGGATTTTAGTGTGCAACAGTCATATTCAAGGATATCACTTGTAGTAGAAGGACTGCAGCTAAGGTATGACAAACTACTCGGGAGGGAAGAAGATAGTATGTCCAACTTTGAAAGACTTGGCGAAGAGGTTACCTTTCGAAATGAATTAGGAGAGTCCCAACTTGGAAGGATTTCTTCTCCTATCTTACCATTGCAGATATTTGTATTGGCAAGTGTGGCATTTGCACTTAAGGCTGCACCTGACAAGCAAGAAAAACTACTTGTTCTACGTACTCCAGGAAGGATTTTGTAGCCACTGACAACCTCACAAGGAATGTCTCTATCCTTATTGCTATTGCATTTATAGCCAAAACTTATTTCAAGTTCTCCATCAGGAGTAACCATGTTTATCCTGCATTAAGAAATTCATTCTAAACACTATTAAAACCGGGTATATATATACTTAAAAGCAAATAACTTGAATGATCCACTAGAAAATAGCCATTTTATATATATAACTTGAATGAAAGATTTCCCAGGTTGTGTATGGGCCTCCTATCATCATACAGTTAACAAGGCCCACACAAGAAAGTCATCAAGAAAAAAACTAAAGCTAATAACTATCAGCTCAACAAATAAAAAGAAGGAATTATAAAATATATAGATAACCATCATGATGCTGGGACCAATTTTGCCAATTAAATATATGATAGCATGTAATCAAATATGCAAATTCAAAGGTTTGTTTGTATTTGAGACCAGTAAAGCAGATGAGGGAGAGAAATAAACACAGAATAGGAGAAAAAAGATGGGGGACAGCGCTGGGGAAGGAGGGGTCAGGGGGTAATCTAAAACCTAGCAGCAAGCAATTCCTCTCCTTGCTCACTCACTTACTTTTCAAAGAAACAAAATACCAAGCAAACAAGATAAAAAAAAAAAATTAAAAAAAAAATGACATGAGATGACCGGGCACTATAATGACAGGAATTAAACATGATAGACTTAAAATTTGTAGAATTTTTACTTGAGGCTTTCCAGTGTCAGCATTGGGTTCCTCGTATGACCCGATTATTTATTTTAAAACTTGGATGCAAATCGTTAATATTGTAAAAACGATTATATAACATTTATATCAGAGATTGTCATGAAAAGATTAGCTGTTGTTCTTTATACTGGGACTAGAATGTAAGATCCTCTATCATAATATGCCAATTATCATTAGAAGACAATGAAAATCCAAATTATAGCAACTGCGCAAACGATTGATAATAATACCTAAGAGAGAAAAAAGAAGCCTATTTGGAACCAAATTTGCAGAGCAATATTAGCTTGAATTGGAGGCCAAATATAATATAGATGGGCAGGGAAATGATAAGAATTGAAGCAGAGATGTTTTATATTCCATGAATGCAGAGATATAATAATTGATAAGAAAAGGAACTGACCGAATAGAGATGGATGGTAGTGAAGAGAAGAGAGAATGGAGATGAGAGATGGGTGTATTAGAATTTAGAAATTGAAGTGAAAGTGAGTATATATATAAAGAGAGAGAGAGTGTGTGTGTGTGTGACTTACCAAATCACGAAAGGGCAAAGAAAACAAGTATTTGGGTTGGGTTGGGTTGCGTCAAGTGGAGAATCCTATCATATTTAAATTAGGCTGCTGTTACCCAACACTCATGCCAAATCCCCAATTACTCACTCTCACATCTTTTCCTTTTCTCCTTTACCATCAAACTATTACTTCTATGACTTAGTATTTTTTTTTTTCGTCCCTGTAATTAAAATACATGTTTTATACTATTTTTTAATTAATATTTATTTTTTTCTAATTAATTAGAGTATATGTTTTTTAAAGAATTTATAATTAATTTATTTTTATCAAATTAAGATAACATATAAATTATGTTATCATATATATGAAAGTTATAAAATTTATTTTAATAGCCCCAGGAAAAAAAATGTAAGACGGTGCCAATTATCCTTCATCACCCATTTATTATTTTATTTATCATTCACTAACCCCTTGATTTTTCGTGACTTTCATCACCTTTGTCAACATCACAAATTCTCTTCCCTTGGTTGACTTTACATTTTTTTCTTTTAACTCTTTTATTATGGGTTTGACTATATTTATGTTCCTCCTTTATTATTAATGTGGGGTTTTAGATTATTTAATGATTTCATTAAATAAAATTATTTAAAGATTTTAATTTAATTTTTAATCATGCTCCATGTTCGTACACCCACGAATGCATTAACTCAAAAAGAAAAAATGCTGAATACATTTTAAACAGTAAAAAAGTACAAGATATTTCATGATTTTGAAAACTAAATTAAACAAGTCATTTGACTAAGAATCAATTCTTAATGAAAAATTCTAGATACTCCGAAATCATATTTCCAAAGTTGTTTTGAATTCTTAAAAGATTAATTTAAATTATAAAATATTAAATTAAATAATTAGTTTGTGATAAATTTACTGAAAAGTATGAATATTTTAAAGTTTTGGAGACTTTTTCGGAGGATATAACAATCTTCATTCTCAATTATTTTGATTATCTTAAAGAATTATTTTACAACAAATTGATGAATAATTAATATAATTAATTCAAAATTGGTCAAAATCAGTAAAAGAAATCAATCAAATCTATTTGAACTAGTTTAATTAAAAAATTATTTTTTCTAATTTTTAAATTTTAATTTAAAATATCTTAATAAAAATACATATTTAATAAATATTATAATTAGAATAACTTATTTTTAATATTTGTCTTATAAATATAATTTAATCATTTATGATAATTTACAACTTTTAATATATTTATTTTTTTGTTTTATATTATATTAATTTGATATTTTTTATTCTAAATGCAAATTTATTATTATTAATGGATATTATTATTTTTTATCAAAATTTAAACTTAAATATTATTAAAAACATATAAATAATTATTATTTTATTAATATTAATTTGATCAGGATTAAATCTTATAATCAGTATTTAAAACCATTTCAATAACCGACAAGAAAGCAAGCAAAAAGTAGCAGCTAGCTTGTGACGTAAAAATAGTTGTAAAGCAAAGGAAGGAGGGCATTGTGGCATTGCATTTGCATGATGGTGGATATGAAGAAGGTTGGAATTATGAACAGCGTTGAAGACATGGAAACAGTTAGATTCAGAAACTAAATTCCTGTGCTCCAACTCCAACCAAGCTATAATTCCTCAGCATTATGGATATTGTGTAAGCATTGGAGATTCCAACATCCATGCTCCCACAGATCAGTTATAGTTAGTTGTAATAGGAGCCTCTACTGCTTTCTTCAAACATTGCCACATTTTTTTTAATTAAATTTTAACATTTTAAATAAATTATTATTAGTTTCAAATAATTTCTTATTACAATATAAATTATTTATTATAAAATTAAAATATAATTTTATATGAAAAACTATTTATTTATTATATAAAATATAATTTCATCTTAAGTTACATAAGTAAAAATACTAGTTATAAACTAAACCATGAATAGACAAACCAAACTAAACACCATATAGAGGGTGTTTGGAAGAGATGATAACATCTCATTTGAGTTTTTTTTTTTTTTAAGTTTTGTTTTGGTAAAGTGAAAAGTTGTTTGCATAAAAACTTGTAAGTTGATTTACTACACAAAAGCTATTTTTTTATAGTATTAAGAAAAAAAATCTTATAACCATTTTTTAGTCAATTTACTTAAACAAATTTTATTTTAATAATAATCAATTATTAAAACAATATAATTTTTAGTTTCTCGTGTTAGTTTCTTGTTGTAACATAAAAATTAACTTTTATGGTATCAAAAAAATAAAATCATTTTTCATTCAATTTATCCAAATAAAATTTTATTTTGATTATAATTGATTATTAAGATAATCAAATTTTCACACTGGTTGTATCAAACTTGTATGATATCATGTTACTTTATGGTATGGAATAGGATGCTCATTACGGTGTATTACTACCAAACATATGCATAGATGCTGCCAGTGAATTGAATGGTTCAACATTGGTTCCTGTTGGACTTACTTTTGTACTCATGTGTCTGGATACAGAACATTTCTTCCCAAAATAAAATTCACCAACCAAATTGGAAATTCAGACAATAATAGTATCATAACATTTGAAGATTGGTTCCATCCTATCACACTTTTGACCAAGTAATAATACAGTTAAGCCTTATTTATGGTCCATATGCATGAAGATTGCTGCCACTTGAACAAAAGGGGATGGCGGCTGATAGGTAAAGAACATTATACCTTCCATGCAGATTTTCATGGACCACGTTGCACCCATAATTTTAGTACAAAGAAAAGTATGGACTTTTTTGACTAGGTGCCAAACTCATAAGTGCCACCCATTCAATTTCAATTTTTAGTGACAATTCAGCTTTATGATTAAAAAATGAGAACAGACGGGACAAACAAAGATCAAATCATTATGATCATGACATGCATTAACTCTTGAGAGGAGAAGACAAAACCAAACCCCTGCACTTCAAAGTGAATTCAGATACGGACACTTATCATGTAGTCACCGATCAATATTCAATAAGCGTGCGTTTGAAGCAGATCAAAGGGTGATTAATGAGTTTGATTTTGGGAAGAACATGGCGTGTGCAAGGACAAACGGGTGTGAGTGGTGAGAAAGAAGAGAAAACAGAACAAAATAGACGTAGTAGGCAGCATATATAAATAACATCTGTTATATTTATCAAACCTATCAGAATTACAACCGTCATGTGGTCTTGCCATTCAATGACTACCTAAACCTTTCAGATAACTGTTTTGTTAAAATTCATTATCCAAACAAAGTTTGCCCATGTGGTGGTACCACCCCGACCACAGTTGATGAATGATATTGTGGATAAAAAGTTTCTGACCAAAACACCGTTTACAAATTTATTTAGTTTCCTTCAATGCTTATCTAAGAGTAGTATGGAGCTCAAATGGCATTTACATGAGAGCAGATTCAGCCACGTATCATTAGGATTCAACATTGTAAAAGACTTTTGTCAGCCCCTTCTTCGAGCGAATTTGAGAAACCTGATCAAATACAAATATTACATAAGCATATAACACAAAATTGTTACCGGGCAACCAAATATAACCAGAAAAAAGTCTCTTTTTTTTCAACCAAAGAATAAGTCTCATAACAACCAAGTTTTCATTAATCCAACAATGAATAATTTAAATAAATGGATTTTATACCTTAATTTGTATGATTTCTGAAATGTCAGCAACATGAGTACCACCACAGGGGCAGCCAGGATTATCTCCAATCCTCACTATGCGAGGTGTGCTTTCCTGCGAGAGTTGATGCATCAATATTGAATGCAGAGAAGCAAGAACAAAACCAGATTGATACAAAACCAGATTGATGCAAGAGATGAAACTAACATTGTTCTGTATCCTTTAATATACGTGATCAGCTAATTTCAAAGAATTTCCCAAGTTCTGTTGTCACAAAGCACGACCAACAAGCGAGGATAGTAGTTTGGGCATTGATTTTGATATCATAAAATGGCTTCTAGAGCTATAAATTTAGGTTTGGCCCAATGGGTTGGCTTTGCTAGATTGCAAATAAGGTCAGACTAAGTTAAAAATGATGACCTAAATAGAACTAGGCTATTTTGACTCAACCCGCTAAGTCTAACAGGCCAAATGGACTCAGGTTGGGTTGACTCACTGGCTTACGGATTGACCTGTTAAACTAATAATAAGGGAAATAAATTAAACCAGCATCATTGTCAATCTATAAATCTATAGTGCATTATAAATAATAAAATAAAATAATAATAATAATAGTAATAATAATAATAATAATAATAGTTCACCACCAATTTCATACTTTATAATGAAGCACTGTGAATAAAATACATTGACTGAGACGTGATATATGATGTAAGGCAAAACCGCCATGTTCTTTGAAGTTTAAAAAAAAAAAAAATACAGTTTCTTCGGAAAGAAGTAGGGCGTATATGATTCTCTTCTCATTTACTTTGTCATCTGCTTTTTAAAACAATTCCATAATATTTAGCAATCAATTTCTTATAGAAATCTGTTCAGATTTGAAAATTAATTTCAAAACAAGTGTTTTATAAATAAAAAATAAAAAACAGTCAAGAGATGTTTTCTTAACCCCTTATGTTTTTTTTCAAGTACTCTTTTCAAGTATTCAAGCAACAAACTTTTATAAAACAAAAATGTACTTAAATGGACAAACACATCCAAATATGCTCAGAGGACAAACAAATTTTAGAAATCATAAAACTGTTTTCCAATACATTAAACAAACAAAGCCGAACTCTAATATTTGACACTCTTCAGGTTGGTTCTAATTCTACCCTAGTAAATACATGCACATAGGGCATGCAGGCAGACAGAAAGGCATACTGACTGACACAAATGGCTTGAATGAGAGTTATGACTTGTGAGGACTTATATGAACACCGTAAGCGCAAGTCTTCTGCCCCACAGAAAATTTCAGCATCAAAGACTAATGGAAGAAACTGTATGAGCCGGAATATTCCTGATGCTATACTAAGGAATGCAAAATATGACAGTAAGAGGACATTTGACAGCAAATTTGTTGGGGAAAAATCCCCTTCAAGCAAAAATGAAGATCAAAGGCTAGAACACACAAATAGAACACATATAAATAGCGAAACTTGAGAAACCCTCCCACTCACATAGGGTGGTTTGACCCCATTTGGGTGGTGATTGATTGGTGACCTCCTCTCTAGGTGGTAAATACTTTCATCACAAGTCTCCCTATTTATATGGGATGATATGGCCTTTCATTTATGGCTCTTCATTCACAGTTTTTCGTTCATGACTCTCTTCATTCATGACTCTTCGTTTATGATTTTTCATTTATAACTTGTTCATGACTTTTTATTCATGACTCTTCTTTTATAATTGAAAATTTTGAATTGATTTCTGAACAAAATCTTATTCATTTATCCACAAAAAAAGGATTTGATACACACTGCAAGACACTTGTAAGATAACAAAGTGACAGGCATTATGGTTATAGCGAAACCAACAACTAGTTTAGTGTAAACTATACAGAGGAAATCATTTGCATCAAGCATATATCTTTTATAGACTGACCTTCAGAACATAATCAGGAAGACACCCACCACAAAGCTCAGCGGCTTCGTCATACGGTAATATATCAGCTGAAACCTAAATGGCAAGGTGAAGATTTTCAGAACCTGATGCCACATATAAAAAGCAATTTGTGAACACTGTCACTTACTTTTCCTCCCACGCAAATTAATGCATTGGCCTCAAGCTCTAAATCCTTATGCTTACTCTGCATTTCATTTTGTGAAATTGTACCTTTATATTCAACCCAAGGCCTGGAAACAATACAATAGCAAGTATGAAGCAAACTTCATATCTTTAGAGCACATTTCAATCAAAACAGCAGGAGAGTAGTCAAGGTTTGATCTTTCTTTGAGTAAAGCCCTAAATTGGACTTCTACTTATTATTATGCCATTATGTTACTCTTCTAAAGATTTTTCCACCATACAAGTCCCTCAAAGATCTAAACATCAACATATTCAACCTAATAAAGGTCTGAAGTGGTGAAAGAAGGACAAATTTAGTGATATTTATATCTTTAAGAAACTAATTTAGTGAAAAAATAGTACAAGAGTAAGGTGCACTATGCTAATCTTTGGATGATCAATTTAATCTTTACTGTATTTCAAGTTTTCTAGTAAACCCACACCCACTGAATCGTGATTAATATTATTCTACATCAGCAATGATTTGATAGCAACAATATTTGCTCTCAGTTGGAATATTAAATAAATCACTTTCAAGTCTCGACCTAGTTCAGATTAAGCACCGGTAGCTAAGCCAAACATACAAAACACATAAAAGCATCAAAAGAAGGAAAACAGTATACCCATACCCATCAGGAAAATGGTAAGCTTTGCCAGGCTCTAAATGACCCAATCCTATTCTTGGCAGACAAATATCAAGCAAATGTCCTGCTGAATGCAATCTACGCAAATAAAAAAAAATTATAAGCAGTGAAGTAATCATTCATTCAAAAGAGAATTTCAAAACTGCCTTGCAGAAATAAATTTCAGGCTAGAGAGCCACTTTCAAAAAAAGTATTAAATATAAAGTTGGTAATATCATATGATCCACAAGGGAAGAGCACGGAATAAATGAAGCACAGATGGTAAAGCATTTTCCTTAAAGATTGAAGAATTTCACGGTTTGCAAAAATTTTAACCTGGAGTTCAGTTTTCTCCTGGGCATATCAACAAACAGTGAAACCTCCTGCCCTGTCTCTAATGTAGGCTCAAATTCCCCTCTCATATTCTCAAAGAAACCATAATGAAAAACCTACATCATAATTCATACTCATAACAATAATAATAATAATAATAATAATAATAACTCCAAAGGTGAAAAAATAATCGATAAACCCCAGAGACAGATTTAACAAAAGCATCAGAATTTTGATCTTCCAAAACTTACAATTCCATCTTTGGACCGAACATCAGAAACCACAAATTTGTTGTCTAAGCCATGAATGAGTACAGAGCCAGTATCCGCCGGTTGACCACCTCCTTGCGGATGGAAAATTGTGCGATCCAATATCAAAGCATGTCTACCATCATCCCCCTATCCACTCGCAAGCATGAACAATTTCCTTATTTTCATAATCATCACCCTTTCCCATATTAATCATAACTAACAAAAAAAAAAGGGTGAATCGAAAAACTAATTAACAAGAAGCAAAGCAAACCCTGGAGTGAGATAATAGTGTGGCACCGGATTGGAGCCTCCCCATGTCATCATAGTATTCCAGCTTCGTGGGACTCTTCTCCATGCCCTCCACCCAATCTCTTTCAGTTTCCTACTACAATTGTTGGCGGCGTCGACTTAGTCCTTTTAACACGTGCCACGCACACCCACACACTCATTACTTTAATTTTATCATTTCCACAAAATTAAAGTATGAAAGATTACAATAACGTGATATATAAATTATACTGTTCCGCACTCTAACAAGTGTGGATCTAGAATATTTAATATAAAAAGTAAATTAATAAAAAAATTTAAAAAATTAATCATTCACACTTAAGCAAGGTGAGGTTCGAATCCTGCCTTGTGTATGCAGCCGCGTTAAATCTTGGGACCAGCTATCCCACCCTTTGAAGTGCCTCCAACGTAGCGAGGAGATTAGTCACTGCTATCGGCGGTAGATACTCCAGGAACGAACAAAAAAAAAAACAATACAAAAATTCACTTTCTCCTTAATATAATCAAGTAATAAATAAAAGAGAAGTAATTAATATTAAGAGATGAAAATAGTATTTATGTTTATTACAAAATTTAGACAAGATATATATCCATGAACAGATAGATTCTAATCCCTTCAAAAAGATAGATTCTTTAATGATTACGTAACTGATTTTGCCTCCAAAAAGATAACACGTAAAGTATTATGATTTGGTCCAAGGGAGTTCTGCAGCTATATATAATGAGAAAGCCTCCAAAAGATTGAGGATTTCAAAGTTTATGAATGGGTCATTTGAGAGTGCAGAAAGAAAGCAATAAGAAACAGCGAACAATAAAAAGCATTCCAAAGGAGTTGCTAGTGGAGATTTTGGCCAAGGTGGGAACACGCTCCATCGTTGATCTCTGCATGGTCAAACCATGTTGCAAAGAATTTCTTGATGCTGCGGAGGACGATCATGTGTACCGTCACGTCTCCATGGAGAATTTTGCATTGGTGCCGCTTCCGTGGTTCACCAGAGAGAAGGAATCGTCGTTTCTGAAGCGTTGCAGGGAGAGTGGTAACTCGGAGATTGCGTACCGCGAAGGGATGGTTCAATGCTTTAGTTCTTCTTCAACTCTTAAGTTGGGTCTCCAGAATTTGAAAAAGGCGATGCTAGAGGGTCACCACGAGGCCAAATACGTTTACTGCATGCTTTTGATGTGTGGTGAAGACGAAGGAGAAAGGGAGGAAGGTTTTCGTCTCTTTTGTTCCTTGGAAGCGTCCACTTGCGTTGGAAGATGCAGAAAGAGAGTCAAGTCTTTTGTCCGAAGCGTGTGGGTCAGAAACAACCCTTTGCTTCGGAATCATAACTTGTCTTTTTGTTGTTCTGGCACGTGCGGTGGTGAGAGGCTCAAAAAACTTTCGACAAGATGGTCATGGCCTCAGGATGATGAAGATGTTGCTAGCATTGGAGTTTCATGTCAACGTTGTCGTACGGATCATGAACTTGGTTTGTTTTGTAACATATTTGGTGTCTAAGTTAAATTAGAATAGGAAAACAAGTTCAAATATTCACTTCAATTTTTCTTTCTCTTTTCAACTTTTAGTTTCTGTTTTATTTTTTTTCCCTCCTTTTTCTTTCTCCTTTCAAGTTTTGTATTTCTTCCTTGTATAAGTCTTCCAACTTGATTATAAGATAAAAAAATATGGTCACTTTTTATTTGTTCATTATTCTGACATATACATCCATTTGGAATCTATCAATCTAAGAGTTCTTGTTGAGTGCTGATATGGTGTCAATCAAGCTTTCTATCCTCATATAAAAACTTTCCTTCATTAATAATTTATCATGATCAATATTTGTGTATTTTATATTGAATGACATGTGATTAATCATCTAGGCATTTTTCTAAGATATTATATAAGTGAGATTTCAGGGGTTGAGGCTAGTCTTATGCAACCAGGGAATTTTTTTGGAGTTTATAGAATAAGAGTTGTCTATATTTATTATTTAGTATTTTATAATGTTTCAAACAAGATTGCTTCATAAAAGAATATATATGAAAAATTGGGGTTTCAAATCTTATTGCATTTATTAAAATATACTAACAGGTTTTCTTTTATAAAAAAAAAATCTAATCATAACTTTTTAATATTAATAATTTTTGATTTGTGATTTTTAATTTACTAACAATATAAAAAATTACTTTAATTGTAATGAAAATTAAACTATTTTATTAAATTATTTAAGTGAAGGAAATATAATTTTTTTCTCAATAACATAATAATCTTGATATTGCGCATGATTGATTAGTCAACTAAGACTCTTTTTTTCAGATCTTAAGCATCAGTTGAATTTCATCTCTTACAATTATATTGTATTCAATATTTATTTTTATTAAATAATTTTTAAAAATAGTAAAGAAAATGCGGATTTTTTTTCTTGCAACCCATATGATTTATTCTTTATTATTACATTTTTATATATTATATATAAAAGAAGATTTTATTACAGACAGATAATATATGATATCACCATATTCATTTTTCCCACCTAAATTTCACCAATTTTTTTTACTTCCTAAAATATATTATTATATTTATTTATAGTAATTAAGACATAACAAGTATATATTTTAATAAAATTTATCAATTAAATCATCAAATTTTGAACAGATTTTGATTTTATATAATATAATATAGTATTTTTATTAAAATTTAAGGAAAGTTTTTGTAATTATAGTAACTTTGTTTATTATTGCCATATAAGATTTTACCGTATGGTACCCTTTCAAAGAATTTCTTTTTCGAGGAATATACTGCATTACTGCTATTCAGAACAATAATCATACTACGATACCGTAAAAAAGTCATCCCAAATTTAAATAGTGTACAAGTCTGGTGCGGTTCAGAAAGACAAGTCTCTGATTGAAAGACAATTCCAAGCAAAATATATACTCATGAAAAATTGAAAGAGGTTCAACCTGAGTTTAGGGCTACAACTGATTGTCATGCATCATTGACACTGCAAGAATATTCTATTTGCACCTACAAAGTGGTGGAAGACATGACCTTTGGGGAAAAACCAAAAGTAGAGTTTATTGTGATGTTTAATAGTGACAATCATGATATCAAGTGCAAATATCTATTTATTTGAATTCCTGGGCACTGTGTGCAGGCATGCACTTGTTGTGATGGGTATAAAAAGAGTTAAAGAAATGCCTTCTATTATGTTTTATTGAGCTGGAGTAAAAACATTATAAAAAAAAAAGTACACATATATTAAAAGTAGTTATGATGTCAAGCAGTTGAAACCCCAAATGCAAAGATTTGATGACATCTAAGGATTTTCATTAGGTTGGTGAAATTGCCACGGAATATGAAGATACAGCTGATTTTCTTTGAAAATTTTACAAGAAACAAGGACCAAATTAAAGATAATAGTTTCTCATAATAAACAGTATCAAATATCCATATTGCCTATCCCACTTGTAATGAAAATGACACGTGTGTGGTCAATGACAATCAATATCATTCGTAGTCCAAATGTAGTATGAGGTGAAGGTCGGCCCTACTCAAAGAGGAAAGTGTCTATCCTTGAGCAAACTGTAAAAGTTCTAAAAAGAGAAAGAAAAGCTTGAAATCTACTCAAATGCAACAAAAGGTAATACTTATAGATCTCTTTTATATAATCGTCTAATTATGTTACTTGTGTTAAATGGAGTGCAATTTATTTTTGTCACTTTCATATACATATCGGTTCATTAATGCTAAAATATTTGTGTCCTTTTTTGGTTTTTCAAACTATATATCATTTTAGTAAGGAAGGTCATGGCAAGATTTTCACCACAGATAGAAGCAATTGTGTTTCAATATTATCAAGTTTCCGGTTAAGTGGAGTTCTTTCTTTCACTAATGTTTATGATAATTAATCTAACATCAAATATCATGCGTAAATTTATTTAATCTCTCAAATTTAAAATCTTTATTTTTAAGTTCTATAATTTTTAAAAATTTTATTTTAATCTTTTAATTACTAATTAATAACATATCTGAAAGTGATAAATTGAGACAATTATGTAATATGATGATTTCATTAATGGAAACATTAGTAAGTAAATTTTATGCAATAATATTTAATAAATTTTTTTAATAAAATTTAAGTATTAGAACTAAAATATATAAGATTTTTTGAACTTAAAGAACTAAAAATAAATTTATCTTAAATTTGAGGAACTAAATATATATTTAAACCTACTTCTTTTGAAAAATGTATAAGAATACAAAAGGGTATATTTTGGGTATAATTAAAGGGTTTTCTTTTTTGTATAAATAGACATGGTTTTCTTATTATATGTTTTCATATTGATGTTCAGGATAATGGTCTCGCAATGAGAAAGATTTATCTCATTCATGACTCGCGTATATCTGGTTGATTACAAATCCTATCCGGTGACAATAATGTATGAAATTGAGAACAAAAGTTATAGACATTGTGCTGCAAATAAAGTAAAACACCTAGTTTAAATAAATATATAAATAAAATAAAATAAAAAATAAAAAAAAGCTTCATTGTTACGTGCAAACCCCACTTTCACGATCAACTTGCTATTTTTTACGTTTTTCTTGTAACCTTTAAACTCCACTCAAATTAAAAGAATTATTTCTTCATCTTTTGTCGTCGATCACTTGCTTTTTGTTATTTTTTCTTTTGGGTCTGTTTTGCGACATTAATGATATCACGATGTAAATCGTACCATAAACAAATTCCTTATTCTCGACCATCCCATTGATCCCAATGTAATTTGGTAACATAATGGCTTTGTACACATTGATGTAAACAAATTCCAATATCAAAGCATGTCTACGATCATCCCCTATCCATTCTCCGTCACAAACAAATTCCAATTTTCATAAGCATGTCTACAGGGTCAGCACGAGGCCAAATATGTTTATTGCATGCTTTTGATGTGTGGTGAAGAAGAAGAAGGAGAAAGAAGAATGGAAGGTTTTGATCTCTTTTGTTCGTTGGAAGCGTCCACGTGCGTTGGAAGATGCAGAAAGAGAGTAAGTCTTTTGTCCGAAGCGTGTGGGGTGAGAAAATAACCCTGTGCTTCGGAATCATAAGTTGTATTTTTGTTGTTCTGGCACGTGCGGTGGTGAGAGGGTCAAAAAACTTTCGACAAGATGGTCATGGCCTCAGGATGAAGATGTTGGTAGTATTGGAGTTTCGTGTCAACGTTGTCGTACGGATCATGAACTTGGTTTGTTTTGTAACATATTTGGTGTCTAATTAAGTTAAATTTCTCTTCAAGAAACAAGAGGAGAACCAATCAAGAATTGGAATAGGAAAACAAGTTCAAATATACATTTCAATTTTTCTTTCTCTTTTGACGTTTTAGTTTGTTTTATTTTTTCCCCCTTTTTTCTTTTGTATTTCTTCCCTTTTATTTTAGGTTCACGTTTTATTTGTTCATTATTCTAACGTATACATCAATTTGGAATCTTAAAAGGTGTACGATGTTGGGAGTATTTGTGACTTATAAACAAAGAGTATTTCTTAAACTTTGTTTATATAAATTTAATAATTATGATCAGAAGAAAAGATATTCAATGAATGATATGGTTAGACAATTTTTCTGAAAAATGAAGAATTTTTCGCATTAAAAATATGTTATAAAAATGATTGTTGTTATAATAAATTATCAAATTTATTAGTTCTTGTCGAGTGTTGATATTGTGTAAATCAAGATTTATATTCTCATAAAAGTTTTCCTTTATTAATAAATTATATCTTGATCAAGATTTGTGTATTTTATATTGATTACCGCCCACCCCGCCCCTAAACCCTCCAGATGACCCTGCCATCAGTGAGAAGACGTCCGAGGCGATGGCGACGGCACTTCCTCCCTCCCCCCTTCTCGAGGGCTTTTCCTCCTCTGTCGAGCCTTTTGAACACGGCGTTGCGCCCTTTCCTTCCATTCACAAAGGGAAGACTCGCGCCCAACCCCATGCCTCCGTCGTCCAACCCCTGCTTCGCTGATCTCTTCCCCTACCAAAATCTGATAAGGAACGGTTGCTTCAAGAAGCCTCACCCCGCCCCTAAACCCTCCAGATGACCCCGTCGTCAGTGAGGAAGACGTCCGAGGCGATGGCGCGACCCTTCCTCCATCCCCTTCCCCCTCCCCAAGGGCTCTTCCTCCTTTGTCGAGCCTTTCGGAAACGGCGTCACACCCTCTCCTTCCATTCACAAAGGGAAGACTCGCGTATAACCCCGCGCCTCCGTCATCCAACCCCCGCTCCGCTGATCTTTTCCCCCACCAAAATCTGGTAAGGAACGGTTGCTTTAAGAAACAACTCTTTCTCTTCTTCAAGCAACTCATATTGTCATTTCAGAATCCTTTAGTAATAAGAAACCAGGACTTAAGTTGCTTCATGGAACAAGAAACTCCCATTAGAATTGCTCTTAGTGAGGTTAGATTACCTAAGTCCTCTATTGATATGCCGAGTAACTGGACTTTAGCACCAATGATTATAAACAAGCATTCTATTACATCGCTCATCTCCAGATTTAATTTTCATGAAGTGTGCTTAATATCATGTTCCTTAATCTTGGTACATTTCGTGTGTATCCAAGCTTGCTCGATTCCAACAATGCTGCACAGAACAGTTTAAGATTAAATGGTTTGTTTTCAAATAATGAAACGAATTTGTAAGGGGTGACCAATCATCGATGTTGCTCGCCTTATATGAATTCTTTTTGATCTACATTTTAGAATGAACCGAAAACATCACACATGCATGTTCAGCATCATTTAAAAACACTAACGGCAAGGCAAAATTGGCTTAACGAGAAACTAATTATATACGCCAATGCAGCGTAGACAAGTTTTTCATCGAACACTCAAAAAACCACTAATGCCATTCGTCTTGGTGCACAATTCTTCAAGTTGTAGAGAAGACACAATCATAATCACATCCACAAGCTAAACAAAAGCCAAACCAAACCGATACGAAACGCTAACATATTCATATAAATCAATGGAAGGAATTGGAGTAAACAAATACTTCTTAATGCAGTGTCAATCAATCAAAAATCAGCTTTTAGCTGAAAAAAACAAATGTAAAATTTAAAACTTAATTACCAAAGTTCCACAATCATACTATAAATATCTCCAGAAATCGTAGAACTTCAGACAAGAAATTAAATCACTTTTACTGTTGCTTAACTTCTGCTTTCTTCTTCTGCCACAACCGATCTAGTGCACTGTCAGCATCTCCCTGAAAAAGAAAGCATAAAATCATTAGGTTAAAAATCGAAATCGCGAGTAAATTATATATCTCGAAAACATCTATGCATGTGCATAAGCCTCACAACAATAAAAGCATATAAAATTGAACATAAATTTCCAGCATGCATGCAAATAGAAACAAACTCCAAGAAACACGACAATCTACTCCACTGCTAATCATTCATATCACTCTATCGCAGCTTCATCCAAGCAAAAAAGAGGTATATAAAATGAGATAGAGACTACACAACCAGAAAAGAAAACCAATTGTTATATGCAATCCCCAACCCCGACCACGCCAGTTTAGTTATTTTTGAAGGATATGCAATGGTAATAAACAATGCTTATGGAGTTATGCAACATGAGCAAGCTGCTCAGGTTAAAAATTTGGTGTGGTGTACTAGAGATACCAACAGTAAAAGGTGCTTATTCTAAAACATATTCCACTAACCACAACTTCAAAATCAGATTGGGCAAAAGCACAATTATAGCAAAATCAACCAATATACAAAATGAATGTGTAATGCTACTTGTCATTCGAAGCTCTAAGTTACCAACACTCCAAATAGTTACTTTAAAAAAGCATTTTACGATTACTTGATACAAATCCTTTAATAAACCATAATGCAATACAGTAATGCTTCAGAAAAATGGTAAAAAAGAAAAGCATAAGGACCTGTGCTCGGACGAAACCAGAGAGGGCAAATGTGGAAAAATGACCATTAAAGACACCATTCTCATCCAAATGGCCAATGTTCATCTGAACTGAGGCATGGTCCTTTGCAGTTATCAATCTATTAGTGGCAGAGCTGCAATGTACTTGAACATCAGTTCAAATTCCACAATTCAAAAACAAGCTTAACAACTTCAAATGTATATATACCATTTCCTAGGAACGTATAGTTCAGTGAGCTTTCCCTCCTCGTTCTGCATTTTCTATACCAGTGTTTAAGCCTCGTCGTCGAATATATAGAAACCTAAATCAGACACATTAAGTCATTAAGTCTTCTGCGATTGAATAAAACGCTGTCATGAGAAATAATTTGTGATTCAGGAAACAGTTTCTTTTCAAATTCTATATTAAAAAAAAAAAAAAAAAAGTCTCAGAATTTTACGTTAAGTATATCCAAATTCTACATTACATGAAACAAAAACAATAAACAACAATAAACAGAATTAATCGCACAGACAATCAGAGAAGCACACGGTAAATAAACAGAGAAAAATTGAGAATGTTAAAGAATGAAAAGTAGTGAAAGGAACAAAAGAGAGAGAACGAACCGCGAGACGCGAAAAAATCAAGGCTCTGGGTAATACGATACGACGGTTTCAAATAAAGCTCAAAAACCTAACTTCATTGGGGTTTGGGCCAGGTTGGATTTTATGTTAAGCCCAATTTAAGGCCTTCTTATTTCCGATGTTGATTCAAATTTAGGCCCACCAAAAACATTTTGTTTCAACGAACCCAAAGAAGATTACATGTTAAATTTATGAAAAAGGCACTATGTGCCTCCGTAAAAATAAAATAATAAATTAGTGTTTTAAAAAAAGTGGGTAATTATTATTTTTTAAAAGAGTAGTTATTTTTTTATATGTGTATTGTTTCTATTTTATCCTTAAATATAAATTAATAAAAAATATATATAATATAAGAGTATAATTATCTTTGAAAATGTAGACATAAAAAAAATATTAAAGTAAGCAGTTATTATTTTTAAAAAGGATATTTTTTTTGTATATATACTATTTCTATTTTATCCTTAAGTATAAATTAATGAGAAAAAATACAACATAAGAATATAATTATCTTTTAAAATATGGACATCAAAAAGAGATATTTCTTTTATATTATTATTATTATTATTATTATTATTATTATTAATTATTACATGTATGGGTTAAATATTTATTATATATAACTAAAATTTATAATAAATTAGATATACAAATAAATATTATATTTGAATGTATAAATTATATTTAAAATTTGTATAAATAAGTATTTTTAAATATATTAAATATATTTTAGATTTATAATAAATAATTTATATTATAATACAAAATTATTTTTATTTGTTAGTAATTTATTTTTAAAATATTGAAATTTAATTCATAAAAACTTGAATTAGAAAAAATTTAAAAAATTCTTAAAATTTTTCTTATAAGATAAACTACTAGAAAACTATTATGTAATAGTCATTCATATTTAATACATAACGATAATCCCTTGAAAAAAAATCTTTATTATGTTTTAAAATAACTGCATTTAAAGGTGTAAATTTGAGACAACATATTAGTGAAAACACTTTACAACTTTGCCTTAACAAATTCAAACTAGATTAGTCAATATCTACTGTCTTTGGTTGCCAGAAGAGAATGTGAAATGATGGAATTTACTGACGAGGAAATAAGATGAGAGGAAAATACTAATTATGTAGTTTTTTTCAAAAGAAAGAAAAGGAGGCAAGAGGAGAATAAGGGTCCTTTTGTTTGGTTAGCAAAATATAAAAAAGAAAAAGAAAAATATAGATAATATAATTTTATATCTTTATAAATATTTAAGTAAAAAAAATGAAAAGTAAAATAAGATATTAGAACGATTTGGTAAACATAATTAAAAATTATACAAATAACCTTTTTTTTTTAATTTTTCAATATTGGAAGGGAGAAATAAGAAGAAGAAAAAATTGACTCATATTTTTCTTTCTCTCATTTCCACATTTTTTAAACAAATTATATAAAATAAAATTGTTTTATCTACTATGCCTCCAACTAGAGGTGGATATATAGGTTACGGTGTGTAGGTGGATCTGTTTATAGCCCATATTCTAATTAAGCAGACTTCCGACAAAAGTTAATCCATAAAAAATATGTATCGGTTGACATATTTAGAACAATTTTAATGTTTTATTTATATTTCTTAATATATTTTTTTTCAAAAATTTAATATTGTAATTTTGGTTCACTGAGCTAATTCATGGACCAACGCAGATCAACAATCATATTGACCCATTTACCCAACTCATTTGTTTGTTGCGCTACGTGGACTAATCTATCTATTTTATAGTCTTAGCTATAGCTTTAATTGAACGCACTATTAAAGTGCCCAAATTTGATCCATCGGTCAACAGACAAATTATCAATTTTAGCTAACATCAAGCTTAATAACTATTTTTTCTTTCTTTCTTTCTTTCTAATCAACCAAATGTTATGATCATAGATTTCTGCTACTCGCCATCATTTTATTCCCTGAGACAATCTTTGCTCGTAGACGAAATGTGATGATAAATAAATTAATACTATATTTTTTATACTCGAGAGAAATAAATTTAATTTTGATATTTAGTCGAGTCAATAATATATATTTCAATAAGAATTTGATTTGAATATATTTACTAAATTATCGTGTATGATAACAGTTATATCTGATTAACATGAAAATTAAATCATTATTAAATAATTGTATATATGAATAATTGAACATGATAACGATACATTTCTTTGCCACTAGCGATAATTAAAAATTAAATTTGTAAATATTGGGTAAAATTATTGTATGTGGAAATATGTTTTGGTTTTCATTTAGGTAATTCTGATAATTTGGTAATGGATTATTGGAATTAATTTGGAACAGCTTATGCATGGTTGTGACAATGACGTGCATTACATATTCCAAATCCAAAACTATGTATACAACTTTTTGGAGCTGTAAAGGGCGTAGAATAAGGAAGGCCCTTAACGAGTGGCCAAGAAACGTCGTCATTTTAAGTCAAACTGCAGATGAGATGACAGCACACGCGGTTGCATACATCCAAATGAACAATGAAACATGCCACTAGCTATATATTGCGCTATTTATTCTAAATCTATTTTTTTCACTTATTAATAATTATAATAATTATTGTTTAATTTAGATTATTAATTTGTAATTAGGAAGTTAATTATAAACATTTATCAAATGAACACTTCTATAATAAAAAAGTATTTGTTTGAATTGTCATTTCCGTTAGATTTAACTTTTTTTAATTTACTAAAAAGTATATTTAACTTTTTAATTAAGTAGTAGTGTTTGATAAATAAGTTTTTTTTTTGGTAATTATAAGATACTCTTTCAAATAAATTTTTGTAAAAATAATAGTTTATAACTTCTTTTTACTCAATATTTGTCTTTAAAATATTTATTAAATTTCCTTTCTATCTTTTATACATAAGATATAACTTTTTCTTTTATTATAACTCTTATTATTAATATTATTATTCAACTATGACTTTATTATTGTTAGCCTTTTTTATATAATTAAGGTAGGATTTTATTATTTTATACAGCTTTTTTTTTTAACGTAAGGTGGGATTTTGTATTTTATTTTTACTTTTTATTATATAAGATCAAAATTGTTAATATTGAGAGTTTACATAATTTTATTTAAGTATCTTGTAAATTCGTAAGAGTCTATTTAATATAAATAAATATTTATAACATTTATAAAAAAAATGTAATAACTCAACATTTCAACTCCATGTTAGAGTAAAATAATAAATTACAATATTATTAAAATAATAATGTTTAGATACAATTTCTTAAAATAACAATAAATAAAAATATTAAGAAAAGGTAAATGTCTTCAAATTTTCATGTTTAATCCTCTAATAATGTCATATTCAAACGGGAAAAGAACCTTCACCACGAGAACTTTGGAAATCCATGCCACAACCTTAACCAAAACCAAAGAGAAATCGCAACCCTAAACCTTTACCATGAAGATAGCCGGAAAGAACAAACACTCAAATACAACGAACACACAGATGAGAACGAACGCGCGGAGAGAACAAATGCACGCAGATAATGAATGCATGTAGTAAGAACAAACCTGTGCGGAGAGAACCACTATATATAACGCAATTGTGTGCGGAAAGAAATGCAAAGAGTGGGAGAGCGAGTTGCGTTTATGTGAACTCTTAGAAATCCTAAGTGAAACGCACATTTTTGGATTTTTTTAAGTGAGCCCTATAGTCTTGCAAATTTGGAACAAACCCGCGAGATTGAGCAAGATTATTAAAAAACTGAGTTTGCTTTCGAGTTATAGAATTGAACAATCTCATAAATTCGGTAGTTATTACTAGAGATCGATAACCATGCATAATATATTGAGTATGATAAATGAGAAGTTTATTTTATTATTATTTTAATATTTTTGTACTACAATGTTTGTTTTAACCATTACTATTTACAATATTTATTTTATTATACTTTAAGATATCAATATTGATAGATAATATATTTTTTTAATATTTTTATATTTTACCATTTATTTCAATTATTGTACTATTTATATTATTTATTTTATTATTCTGAACATTATACTTCAAGACAAATTAATATTATTTCACTAATTAACATAATGAAAATATAATGACTACTTAATTAAGTGCATGTTATTTTTAATTTATTTTAAAATTGATTGGAAACGTCTTATGACATAGTATAAGACCAATAGTATAATACGTAGTATGAAAAAAATAGTTGAAACTAAAAATATATATTTATAAACTATAAGTAAAAAAAGATTTTTAAAATTATTTTAAAAAAGACTAAAATTATCAATACCCCCGAGACATTTCATCAATAAAAAAATATACTTTATATAAAATATCATATAACACATATATATTTATGTCATTTTACAAATAAAAAGTATTTATTATAATATAATTTATATACTAAATATACCTTATATAAAATTTAATTTTGTGAAAGTAAAAATTCATGTATATTGCACGAGAATTGCTATATCTTTCGGAAAAATAATCGAAACAGCGTCCAAAATTTTAAAATACTCACATTTGTTAATAAATTTATTATAAAATAATTATTTAATTTAATGTTTTATAATTTAAATTAATTTTGTAAGAATTTGGAATAAGTTTCGAAGTGATCTAGAATTTTTTATATTGCACGAATCACAATATTAATTAATTAGTAAGATGCATTTATCTAAATATTTTCCAATGAGACACGTAGTAGATTCTGTGTGTCTTTTTTTTTAATTTCAAGTACAGATTAAAGTAACCGAAAAATCACCTGCAATTGTTTCAACGGTGGAGTCTAGATAGTTGAATTTGAAATGCATTTTATTTTTTGTTTTCTTTACAGGTGTTTCCTGAAATCATTTGACAAATTGTATGTGTCCTTACAGGATACAACATTACATAAAATTTGAATTTGTAGAAAATGAAGTAACAACTGGAACAGCTTCAATGAGCCTCCGCCAACTGGCTTAATCGCCATTGCATGTTCCCTTTAATGATTTTGATTTCCATTCATTTTTTCACTTCTGGTTGGGTTGGTGAAATTAAGTCAAAATATGGATCCAATATTATTATTATTATTTTGAATCTCACTCAATTACTTGAATTACTGTATATGATAAGGAGTGCGTGTGAAGCAATTAAAGTGAAGTGGCAGCACTCGTAATTAAGAGGCACATCGGATGGCAGTTTGGAAGAAACCGTCGCATATAATGCGAGAGCAGAGGCAGAGGCTCTTCTCACTCCGTGTTTCGCCAACGCAACCATCACCATGAGAACCAGGTTCGGTGTTTTCTTCTTCGTGTGTGCGATCTTGGCCGTCCACGTGGCACGCTCCTCATCAGCCACGCTCGATTTCGACTCACTCTTCCTCCCTCTCAAGTCCGGCTGCCGCGGATCCGTCGCCGAGTGCAGCCTCCTCGACGAGGAGTTCCTCATGGACTCCGAGACCAACCGGCGCATTCTAGCAGGAAGGAGATACATAAGCTACGGTGCGCTGAGGAGGAACACTGTCCCCTGCTCCCGACGCGGCGCTTCCTACTACAATTGCCGCCCCGGCGCCCAGGCCAACCCCTACCGCCGCGGATGCAGCGCTATCACCAGATGCAGGCGTTGAAATCAAATCATCCCTCTTATTTTACTTTATTTATTTTTTTATTTCATTTTTGTAATTCATCAAAATTTGTTATTGTCATGCTACTACATATACACGACTAGAGAAGAGAAGTAGCTAGAGTTGAATAAAACGTAATCGCCGTCTCTATCTCTCTTGTAATTTTATTTTAGCTACACATATTGTTATTATTATTATTATTATCACCGATTGTTGTTCGGCCAAGTCTAAATTATTTTTATTTTTATTCTTATCGATCGTCGGTGGTGGTTTCGCTTTGGAATGTAATGTCAACTCAAATTATGTAATTCCGAGTGGTTTCTGTGTGGTGTATTATTTTACTTTTAAATTTTTTTAAAAATGTGGTTACAGTACTATATATATCACATAAAATTAGGGTGGAACTAAATGCTCTGAAATCGAAATCGTAATAGAAACTAAAAATCTGCGTGTTTTTGCATATGTGGCTTGAGAAAGAAGGAGGCTGGCATATGTTTCCTCTTTCTCTTTCCAGTACACGTTTTGTTGAAATTGAGGAATAAAAATAGTAGAAAACTAAGGTCATTTTATCATCAAAAGCGAAAACCATAGTCTAGGGTCACTTTCTCTCCTTCCCATTCTACCACAGAAGAAGAAATTTGGGCAAATACACCGGATGGCCCATATGTTTTTGTCGGTTGAAACTTGAAAGTACTCAACATTGTTACTACTTTTCTTTTCGAGAAACTTGTTGTATGAAGCAAAATTTCAAGAATCCTTGTTACGCAACTACAATTTGAAATTTTTTTTCAGCCCCCATCCCGCAGATAGCGCAGCCATTATCATGAAATACTGCAACAGTTTTTTTTTTTTTTTTTTTAATATTTCAATTTTTTACTTTCCATAAATAAATTCAATGAAAGAGGCAGCATTATGAAATATGTAGTGACAATTACTGGTTCAGTTGAGTTAGTTAAGAAATTTATTATGGTATTTATCAAGCTTGGTAATGCGGTAGTCATTTCATAAACATGCTTTCAATTGCTTTTAAAACTGCCTTTATTTTGTTTTGCTTCCCCTTTGGAGGGGGAATGGTGTTCTAATTCTTATCCTCAATTCAAGGCAACCTCACATGCATTATTATTATTATCAGCATCAATTGAATTGAATTAAAATGAGTGAACGCGTTGGTATGATTATTATGATGGCATCTTTACCTTTTTTGTGTGACAACTAAAATACACCTCACAAACCCTTGTCCCATTATCTTGTGGACAACTATAATTTTGTCGCGAACCACCAATTTGATAATGGAGAGCCCAAACCCGAAAGGCAAAGACCCTTTTACATCTACATCCACACTTGGATAGTTATTACATTATTTAATGGCTATCCCTAGCATGCAGTTCTTCTGCCCATATGCTGTTGCACGCACCAATGCCAAATATCTCAAGTAACTCTCCTAAGCTGTCAAAGAAAATAAAAAAAATATATTTTAAAATACTAATTTCTGAAGAAATAAATACTTTTTAACTTGATAATGGGAAATCAATTTTTTCTATGATTATTGAAATTAAATTATTAAACTTTCACACGATAATTGATTGTAAGGGTGACTACTTTTTTTTTTTTTTTTTAAATGAATAATAACTAAATATATGTTATAATTTTTCCTAATCCCATTTCTGATAAAAAAAAATGATTTAGAATAAAATGAAAGATTCTTGTATCAAATGCCACCTAATTAAAGAGAATTATTATATGGATAAATATTTTTCCTCGCATAAATATATTTTCCATCATCCATTTTTCTGTATTAATTTTCCTCTTTCTTTCCCATTATTATTAAAATCAAAGTTCCAGAAAACAAAGTCGTGTAAAAGATGCTCTAATTATATTTGTAGCTAATATAGACGTATTAGTAATTAGGAACGGTTAGCCCCTTCAAAAAGTTGGATCGAAAAAAGAATTCAGCGAATTTTACTCAACTTGATATATTTATTATTAGGTCACTAATTTTTTTACTTCTAAAATATATCCAATTTATTTGATTTTATATTTTTATTTTCTTCAATAAATTCAAATAAAAATGAAAAACAAATCAATTTAGGTTAATTTACCAATCCGACCCACGTATACATGTATTAATTAACTCAACTCAACTCATTTGGTAGTTATCTGGTATAGAATATGCATTGTGTGGCAAAATTAAAAATGATCTGTATTTTTTTAAAAAAATATTTACCTTATTATATTTATTCACATATTTTAATTACTGTAGAATAACCTTGTAAAGTGTAAATTAGGGACAGTTTTTTCCGTTGCTATTTTATATTGGTGGAAACAAATTATGGTTTATTTGTTGGGCACGGTAAGAGGGAGCAGTGGGGAACAAGGTTTATCTGGAGAGTGCTTGTTATTTGTTTGCATGGGTATTGGGGGATCTTGGGCTTGAAACAGATGTACTGGGCCTACAGTTATTGGGGCAACCAGATTTACCCATAAGACACTCTCTGGTTGCATGCCAACTTCTTGATTTGATGCCTTCAAGTTTCAATGCTCATGATCATGATTAGCTTCCAGATTGTTTTGGTATTGCATTATTGTTTTCCATAAGACCACAACTGATTAATCACAGTTACGTGTACGTGTCAATTTTGGAATTGATGTTACTTGTTATTCATTCTTGCTATATACTCATCAATGGATCATGTGTTATTCTTTGATTCAGTTTAGGCCCTTTAGGATCATGCTGCACTCAGTCGAGCTATTGTTGCTTGTCACTTTAATTTATGCGGGGCCAAATGATATGTATTTAAGAAAAAGCATAAAAGAAAGACGAATAAATCTTCTTATGGCCTTTCCCTTCAATTAATTTATTCTTTTGGATTGGTCTTCTTTCACACTGGTGGAAAATTGATTAGAATGATTGTTACCCTTTTCACTATTTCACTATTTGTTGTACTTATCTTCGCTCGTGTTGGTTAAACTATACGCCTATGGTAGGAATCTATACTACTGCTGGTGTTGCAATATGCAGTAATATATTGGTAGGTTTATAGAGAAAACTTGCATTGAATCGGAATTTGTTTTTCTCACTTTTTCTTGTATCATGCCCAAAAAGAGTCTCACATGCTCAACATGCAGTGTTAAACTAACAAATGCAAATGCAATCCAATTTGTGGTTGATCTGTTAGAGAGGATTCTATTTATGAATAATGAATAAATCATATAAATAAATTAAATATTATAACATAATAAAAAATTCCAAAATTTTAAGTAAGTGGATTTTTTAATCGTATGTCGTACCTCCCAAGTAAAAGAAAAGGCCAAGTATACCATCATATATGGATAATCTATATCCGGGTGAATGAGGGTCGTGTCTCAATGTGTTTATTTTAAAAAAAATAAAAAAACAAAGATACTAAAAATTATATAATGATAGGTGATTTGTATTTAAAGACCGAATAATTTGAAATAATTAAAATGATGTAATAGTCCAAAAAAAATTAGAAAAAAAATTATACAAAGTTATAATATATGTTAAATTTCAATTGTTAAATTAAATTTTTTTAATGTATGAATCTAAGTTTAGAAATTTTTAAAAAAATTGAAAATTATTTAATATTTCATTTCATTAATTTAAATCGATGAATAATTATAAATATATGTTATATATTGATTTAAATTTATATAATGAAGTACTGTATTATTTTTTTAATAAATTTATAAACTTAATTTATATATTGAAAATTTTTAATTTAATGATTGAATCGTTAAAATTTAATATGATTATTAAGTGAAATTTTTTTTTAAAAAAAATAATGAGATACACATATATACCCTTTTAGTTGATATTGACAAGTTAATTTCATCATCCTTTTATTTGTTACTCAACTTGTGTTGCTCATACCTTCAAAATCTCAATAGATCTATAATTTCTGCTGTGTCCAAATTATTTCCATTTTATGCGGTGATGAAGTTGTGGCTGTAAATTTAGCTTTTAGGTTCGAATTTTATTATTGCTGTTGTAATTTGTAAGAATAAAAAAAAATAAAAATTATTCACATTTTCTGATTTTTTTTTTCAATCCACATTGTTTTGTTGTAATCCGTAAGAATAAACAAATATAAATTATTATAATTTTCTGATTTCTTTCAATCCACATTGTTCAAGTAGTTTTTACACTAGATGTTCTGAAGGGATTGGAGGTTGAAAGAACAATTAGATTATACTCCAACCCCAAGGAAGCATATTATTTTATCCACACAAATTTTCAATATTAAACAAGTCAATATTTTTTTTAAGATCGACAAAGTTAAATGCTTCCTGGCAAGTCCTAATTTGGATAAATTTATTAAGATAGTGTTTAGTTGGAGGAGGAAAGGGAGAAGAGAGGAGATATATATATATATATATATTTTTTTTTTAATTTTTAAATTATTCTCTTATTTTCTTTTGTGAAATAAATAAAAGAAATAGTGTTGACACATGTTTAATTTTCCAAATGTTGAAAGACTTCGTTAGAAGAAATAATTTTTTTTATAATAATTTTTATATTTTGAAAGAAAATAATTTTTCATTGATTGACGATATATTAACAATTTAAGTTTATTTTCCCAAGTAAAATAAACAACAAAAATACATAGTATGTTAAAGATATAATTTATTAATATTTTGATTAAATGATTGTAGAGTATTTAGAATTATTGAAAAGATAACTCTGAATATCCGAAAGTTGAGGAAGTCTCTTTGCAGTGTCAATAGAAGAATGAATGCAGGGAATCGCTGTAAATAGGGAAAATATTGTTTGTGGCGAAACACCGAATACTAACACTAAAACAATAAAAAAAGAAAGAAGGAGGAATGGCGTGTGATAGAAAACAGCACATGGACAATAACACTGATGTGTGTATAATAGCACTTGACTTGAAAGATTACTTATGCATATAGATATAGAGCATAAGTATATAATAGAACCCCTTAAGAGTTAAGATTAATAAAATAAAATAATTCAGAAAAACTAATTAATTAATTAATGTAATAAAAAAAAAACCCTTCTTCTGGGCAGAATAAAAACCCCATATAGGTGACACAGTAACTCACCAAAGCATAGAACAAAGCCCTCTCTTCTCCGCTCCTCTGGCGGCTCTCAATTTTTGGAACCCCAAACCCTAGTTATATAACTAATTACTCTCACTCGCATAGTTTCACGCGTCATGCTTGTATTTTACTTGTGTTCCACAGAAATTAAGTAACACAAAGAGAGTTGTGGTTTGGTGGAGAACGAAAGAGAGAAGAATAAGATACTGGAGCATTAGTTAGGGCAAAAGTGGAAGCACCGACCGTTCGCTTTGGCCTCAGTATCCGACCTCTCTTCACCTCCTTCTTCCGCTTCGCCGGGAATTGCTCGCTTCGACTCTGACGGTCTCCAAATTCATCACCAATCTCACCAGATTCCCCTCAGTGTCCATCCTCGAACTGTTCAGGTTCATTTTCACCTTCTGCTTTTATTCCTACCAAATGCAATAATAATCAAAACGTTTTTCAGCTATCAAACTGTTTGTTTTATCTAATACGGCGGCAAGGGTAATTTTGAATTTTTTTTTTTTCGGCGTTTACTTGTTATTTTTCTTTGAATTCTAATGCTGCGTGTTGCTTTCTTTTATTCACTGAATGGGGAAGCATTCAGTGAATGAGACGATAATCTTCATTAGAATCTGTTAATTATTGTTAATTTGTGGTTTAACTTGACAGTTGTTCAAGGTGAGTCCTGTTCTATCGGTGTGCGTGGTGGAAGGATCTGATGCTGGCAAAAAGGTACAGAGCAGAATCTTTGTGCTAAGCTATATATGGTTGGAAATTTTCAATGCCTGTGTGATGATTTTTTTGTTTTCGTAAGGTTTGTTTTGTTGTTGAATCGTCTTAATGTATTTTATGTTATATTTGAATCCAAATGCTTATGCATTTTAACTGTGCTATTTTGAACCAGACATTGTATTCCAGGGCAGTCACTATCCAGTTTAGAAATGAGGAGGAGAGTGCGGCCTTCCATTGTGTAGTCCAACAGTGGAAGAAGGAAGTCAATACTCAAGGTGCTGTTTTGAAAATGGGTGTAAAGCTTGTTGTGGAATGGCCTCTGTTAGATGATGACATTGTTCCAATTGCACATCGGGCAAAGGCCTTTTCCATGTTTTCATGTTCTATTGTTATTAATTAATTGCTTCAGGTCATGTTTGGTGGTCAGAGTGATATTTATGCACCAACTGAATATTAGTTATTAAACCTGTAAAACTTGGAATATATAGGCATAAGCATTTTCTTTTAATGTATTATTATTATTATTTAAAAGCGCTTTACTTTCAACATATATGTAACTTGTCTGCTGGCCAAAAAGATTTTATTCTTTCACATGCTGATTTTGGAAGTTGATCTATGGCAAACTAACAAATTTATTAGGCTAGTTAATGCTAGTGAAGCCTAGGTTGTCAATAGCAGTCGGAGCGGCATGGAGCTGCTACATTGATGCCATCATGTGGTTTTTCAATGTTGCTACTGGGGTGGGAGTGAGGCGGCTGCTCTGCGGCTACAATTGCTGGTTTAGGGGCAGTTTGAATATGGCTGACAGAACAGGAAAAGGAAACAGTGTTTGAGAGGTCTTGGTAACTCTGACTGTGGGTTTAAGGGCAGTTTGAACAACACGCGCCTGACAGAATAAGAAAAGGTAACGGTGCACGTGTGTGTGGTAACTCGGATAACTCCGAAGTTGATAGAAGTAGGTTGCGCTTGACGAGGTGTACCAAACTCTAGGTTTGCCGTAGAAAAAGGTGGCCAGCGGCAGACTGCACTGGACGGAGGTGGACTAGATGGAACAACAGAGTGGGATTGTACCCATCTAATACCAACTTGAATATTGAGAAATACTGTTTTAGGGGAAATCAGTGAGTTCTCTCTCTGATCTGTATATTCATATTAACTTAACAAAAAGTAATTAGATGCAAAGGAGGATAAAAAGCCTGTGACATTGCACCACAACAGGCCATAATATTCCTTGACAAAGTGCTTAAATATATACATAATATTCCTTGACATTCTATTTTATGTTTTGTTTAAGTACTTTGAATTTTGAGTTATTTTTCTGTTTTGAGCTTATATTATATATACACATAATATTAGAATAGCGGTCATTCCACTATCCCACTTTTGGGATCGCCTGCTCCTCTTCACTATTTGGGGTTGACAAATATGATTGAAACCTTGTTTAATTTCAAATATCCATGGTTTTAATTTTATTATCCATGGATAACGAAATTTCTTATCACAGTGTTTCTCTTGTTTCAGTTCTCATTGCATTTACTATTTCCTAGGTAGCATTGATTGCTAATTTTCGTTGATGTGGCTGGCACCTAATGTGCTGTTTGGACAACTCACTTTCCTGCCAAACTTTTCTGTTTTATATTTATATGTGTTTGTATATATATTCATTTTTATATTTAATTTTAAACATGGATCATGATCATAGGTCTTTTATTTTACTTGTTCTCATAAGGTTCTATTCATTCCATGCGTCACTTTCCTTTTTGTTTTTCAGTAAAGTATGATATTTGTTGATTTTTATGTTTTTTTTTTTTTTTAATTCCAGAAGGCAACGAACGAATTGGAACAATTACAGCATCTAAAAGCAAATTTGATGAAAAAATAGAATCATCATCTGCAAAAATGTATTTCCATTATTATGGACAACTTCTGCATCAGCAAAATATGTTGCAGGACTATGTGCGGACAGGTTATACCTTGTTGCATTCTAGTGGTCATCTTTTTTTATTTTTCTCCTCCTTTTTTGAATTCTACCTATTTATGTTACCTTGATCTGACAAATTAGATAATAATATTGTTTCAGGAACCTATCATGCTGCTGTTATTGAGAACCGTGCTGATTTCATTGGTCGTGTTGTGGTTGATGTGGGTGCTGGTAGCGGTATTTTGTCATTATTTGCTGCTCAGGTAGCTCAGCACATTAATTGGCATAAATATATTTGTAGCATATGATAAGTGTAATTGCTTCTAATTTAAAGAAAGTTCTGGTGTCTCCTTGGGCCCTGCAATCAAAGCTTTTACTAAGTTTTGTTATTATGGAATTCACTTAGGCTGGTGCAAAACATGTTTATGCTGTGGAAGCATCTGAAATGGCAGAATATGCACGGAAACTTATAGCTGGAAACCCAACACTGGCTCAACGAATTACAGTAAGATCTGTTTCCTAGATTTTGCTACAATCCTTGTCTATTAATTATTAGGTATCTTATTATTCCTGGAACTGTTTTATTTAATAATAATATTATATATAGGTGATCAAAGGCAAAGTTGAGGATGTTGAATTGCCAGAAAAAGCAGATATTTTGATCTCTGAGCCCATGGGTATGCTCATATTCTACTTCCTTCCTGGGAAAAAATGCTGCTGATTTTCAATGTATTATTTATGTGTATCTATGTAGTCAAATATGTTTTGTTTTTGCTGTTTCTTATGTAGAGTTAAGTTGTGGCACGACATGTTGAAATTCTACTCTTTTATTGGTTGGAAAAATTTCTTTGTTATTCAGGCACCTTGTTAGTCAATGAAAGAATGCTGGAGTCTTATGTCATTGCCAGAGATAGGTTTCTCAGTCCTACTGGGAAAATGTTTCCAGCAGTGGGAAGGTAAATTTGCATCCTTTTCTATCTTTCTTTGAGTTTCTAGCATGTGACAATGTTGAAGGTGATTATGACAAAATGATTCTACCGGGGCAAGTTATTGGCAAATAATTCTCTGCTTATTCAAAGTATCATTTCTTATTTTTTTTTACCCCAACATTATTGACATATTAACAATTTTTATTTTATTTTATTTTTTATATTTTTTATAAATGGTAACATCTACTGCTATTTCAAAGACAGTTCACAATAATATCAAGCGCATTATGTTTGAAACACGTGTCATTCATGTTTTACACCTATATTTATTTTGAATTCTTGATCCAACTACGAACTTTCAAGGTCTAGGACTCTAGGTGCTTACTTGTTCTCAATGTTATATTGTTCAATTTCAAATGATTTAGGATTTTGGGTGAATTTGGAATAGCTTTAAAAGTTTGTGATTTTACTTTATTTTCATAAGCTTTTTATTTTATTTATTTATTTATTGATTTTTCTTATAACTTATGAGGAAAGCAGTAAAATATTTTTCTTTTTAATTTTGAACAAACTACTTTAATTGTCATAAATTATTTTGAACTTAATTATCATAAAATTTTCTAAACTTTTTTTCTCTTTCAAATAAGAATTTTCTTAAAATAAAAACGAACAGGCCCTTTAAAGTATGCAGTTTTATTTGTCAATGCTTGTAATTATCTAATTATTATCTTGTCTTCTTCTAACCTTGAGTTTATTGCTGGTGTAGGATTCACATGGCACCTTTCACTGATGAATATTTGTTTATTGAAATTGCCAATAAGGTGTGTGATTAATGTGTTTGTGTATGTGTGTGTCTTTGTATTCCTTCAAATATTTTGTTATGTAGCTCATACTTCTGACTTCTTAGAAGTGTGTTTATTATTTCTCTTGAAATTATGGTGCATAGTTGTTTACATATATTTGTTCAGACAAACCTCTACATATTTGTTTCTATATCTCATATTTATATATCTTTAAAAGGATCGTTTTGCATCTGGAATTGGCAGCAAGATTTAATAAAAGGATTACAAATAAGCCAGTTTAGAGTGTCTCTTACTGAGCTTTGATTCAGTTGTCCAGTGAAATGGATTTCAATGATATTCAGCTGTGATTCCTTACACTAATAGTGTATTTGGGAAAATTGTGAAAATTAGATTATTTCAATAATCGAATATATGAATGATCAATTATTGTTATTGTTAGATATAGTTTGACTACATCGGCTTAGGCCCACTACTTTGTATATAAACCTATCTTTCATTTTGCAATACACAAGGATATGTTCATTGCATTTACCATTTCTCTCAACATGGTATCAGAGCCTGGTTCCGATCCAAGGGCATGTGGGTTATGGGCCTCTTTCCATTGACAAGTTAGATGGAACCAATTATGACACTTGGGCTTCCGATATCAAGCTGTGGCTTAAGGGACAGGATTATGTTGCTCACCTTACACAAACAGTTACTTCTGTTGACGAGAAAGATCGTCCTCGCTGGTCGAAAATTGATGCTCAAATTTGTAGTGTCCTTAAGTCGACCATTCATCCCTCCCTCAAGCAAATTTTTCGTGCTCATGAGACATGTGTTGATGTATGGGAACAAGCACGATTGTTGTACACCAATGATACTCAACGTCTCTATGGTGTATGTCAAAATCTCCAGAGTATTATTTCTCCCCGACGCCTTGAGGGCTCCATGGCTGAGTATTTGGGCAAAGTTCATGGCCTTCTCCATGACTTCAATGAACTTTTGCCTCCCGCTGCCACTCCTGCCAAGGAACTAGAGCAACGCCAAACTTTTTTTATGTTGATGGCATTGTATGGACTCCCTGATGAGTACTCTTCCATTCGTGATCAGATTCTGGGATCTCCGACCGTGCCTACTTTGAACTCGGCTTGGTCCACCCTGTTGCGTGTGCCCTGCAAGTCTTTCCCTGACATACCTTCTTCTGCTCCCACTGGTGACTCCTCTGCTTTGGTTTCTCAGCGTGACGATTGTCATCGTTCTCGCAAATTGGGCAAGGGTCGTCCCAAGTGTGATCATTGTCACAAACTTGGTCACACAATTGACCGTTGTTACGTCTTACATGGTCGTCCCACTCACCCTGCTACTGCTGTTGCCCACACTACCTCCTCTGTCTCTATTGCATCTGGTGCTACCCCCTCTGATGGTTCTGGTTCTGGATCTGAACCTCCAGCTCTCTTCCATGACTTCCTTAAATGGTATGAGGAACGTCAGGCTTTCAATTCCACTGCCTCTATTGCGCGCACAAGGCCTTCATTTGTTGGTCTCACTCACTCCAGTTCTTTTGGTCCTTGGGTCCTAGATTCTGGTGCTACCGATCATATTTCTGGTAATCGGTCTCTTTTCTCCTCTCTTTCTACCTCTAGTTATTTACCCTCTATCACTATGGCTAATGGCTCTCGTGCCACCTCTCATGGTGTTGGTACTGTCCATCTTTCTCCTCTCTCTATTGACAATGTCCTAGAGTCTCCTTTTAATTTATTATCACTCAGTCGTCTTACTTGCTCTCTTAACTATCTTATCACTTTTACTAAAGATTTTGTTTTCTTACAGGACCGGAGTTTGGGACGGATGATTGGCACCGGATGTGAGTCCCATGGCCTTTATCACCTACATACTTCTGCTCTTGCTGGTTTGGTGGTGGATTCCCCTTCTCTCATCCATGCCCAATTAGGCCATCCTAGTCTTGTCAATCTTCAACACCTTGTACCACGTCTGTCTAAGTTGTCTCATTTGTCATGTGATGGAATCATAAGTCGTGTCAATTAGACAAACATAGTCGTAGTTCCTTTTCTCGGAGTGTCCCCAACCGAGAGTTGTCTCCTTTTGCTTTAGTTCACTATGATATTTGGGGGCCGAGTCAGGTTAGGTCCACTTTAGGATTTCAATATTTTGTAACTTTTATTGATGATTACTCTCGATGTACATGATTATTTTTAATGAAAAATCGATTTGAATTATTTTCCATATTTCAATCCTTTTATAATGAAATTCATAATCAATTTAGTGTTTCTATTCTTACTTTTTGTAGTGATAATGCTCGTGAATATCTCTCTTACTCCTTTCAAGCCTTCATGGCTTCCCATGGTATTCTGCATTAGACATCTTGTGCATATACCCCTCAACAAAATGGGGTGGCCAAGCGCAAAAATAGACACTTGCTTGAGACCACTCGCACCCTCTTACTTCATGGTCATGTTCCTCAACCTTTTTGGGGTGATGCTATTCTTACTGCATGCTATCTCATCAATCGAATGCCATCTTCTGTTCTCAACAATCAAATATCTCACTCTATTTTGTTCCCCAATCATCCTCTCCACCCTCTACCTCCTCGCGTCTTTAGATCTACTTGTTTCGTCCATAATCACAGTCCTGGTCTTGACAAACTATCCGCTCGGTCTCACAAATGTGTCTTTTTAGGGTATCCTCGGTCTCAAAAAGGGTATAAATGTTTCTCACCATCTCTTCGTTGTTATTTAATTTCAGCTAATGTCACCTTTCTAGAGTCTTCTTTCTACTTTCCTTCTCCTTCATCTTCTGCACCTGTCCTTGCCCCCTCATCGACCCCTCTTGTCCTTGATACTCCTCCTATGTCTGCTGTGTCACCCGACCCATCACCTCTGCCTCTCCTTCAAGTTTATCATCGTCGGCAACGCTCTTGCCTTCCTACTGGGCCCCCTGGTGACTCTCCTCTGGTGCCACCACCTTCGTCCCCTCCGGCCCAACCACTTGAGTTTGACCTCCCAATTGCCCTTCGGAAAGGTAATCGTTCTACTCGTAATCCTTCCCCTCATTATATTACTTTGAGTTATCACAGGTTATCCTCTTCCCAATATACTTGTCTCTCTTCTATTTCCTGTGTCTATTCCTAAAATTGTAGGTGATGCCTTAGCCCACCCTGGTTCCTTTGCCTCTTGAGAAGTCTGTGGTTGGGTGTCGCAGGATCTTCACAATCAAGGCTGGTCTTGATGGCACCATTGATCGCCTCAAAGCTCGTTTGGTCGCCAAAGGTTATACTCAAATTTTTGGATTAGACTATGGTGATACATTCTCCCCCGTTGCCAAGATGGCCTCTGTCAGATTATTCTTAGCCATGGCTGCTCTTCGCTGCTGGCTTCTCTATCAACTAGATGTTAAAAATGCCTTCCTTCATGGGGATTTGCTAGAGGAAATTTATATGGAGCAACCTCCTGGGCTTGTTGCTCAGGGGGAGTCTTCCGGGTTGGTATGTCGTCTCCGCAAATCACTTTAGGGTCTTAAGCAGTCTCCAATTTCATTTTTTGGTCGATTTATTACCGTAGTCCAACAATTCCGTATGACTCGAAGTGAAGCTGATCATTCTATTTTTTATTGACATTCCACTGTTGGGTGCATCTACTTGATAGTGTATGTTGATGATATTGTTCTTATTGGTAGTGACCATCATGGCATTTATCAGATAAAACATTTTTGCCATCACTTTCAGACAAAAGACTTGGTAAACTTAGATATTTCTTGGGGATTGAGGTAGCACAATCTAAAAATGGAATTGTAATATCTCAAAGGAAGTATGCATTGGATATTTTAGAGGAAACTGGGCTAATGAGTTCCAAGCCCGTTGATACACCTATAGATCTCAATGCTAAACTTCTACCTAGTCAGGGGGAGCCTTTCTCAAATCCTGAGAGGTACAGAAGATTGGTTGAGAAATTGAATTATCTCACGGTAATTCGTCCTGACATCTCCTTTGCAGTTAGTGTGGTGAGTCAATTTCTCAATTCTCCATGCGTAGGACATTGGAATGCAGTCATCCGCATTCTAAAATATATCAAAGGTGCTCCAGGAAAAGGTTTATTATATGACTACAACAATCATACTCTAGTTGTGGGGTACTCATAAGCTTCAAATATTCGGTTTTATAAAAACAATTTACAAATTTAAGTTGTTGTCCCAAACATACAACCTACTTTGTAAAAAGTTTTTTTTTTCCTGAAAAAACAGTTGAAAGTGAGAAAATTAATATTTCCTGAACATGCTATAAAAGAGAAATAGGGGGAAAAAAATAACAGCAAAGCGTTTTGCTTCATAGGATCTGTCATAAACTGCCAATTTCATATTTTTTTAGAATTGCATCATGGTTTAAAGCATTCTTTTACAGATTTAGTGATAATTGCCCGGTGAAAATTTGGTACTCTTCAGACTGTTCCCTTCTGTGTTTTTTTATACTCTTTTTCTTCTTTTTAACTAATTATTTTGTTATTGTTAGGCCCTGTTTTGGCAGCAGCAAAACTATTATGGTGTTGATTTAACACCCCTACATGGTACTGCATTTCAAGGATACTTTTCTCAGGTATCATACGTTTTCTAAAATTTACTGATGATTAGAGTATGAAATGATTGCTTTTTTTTTTGGGGGTGGGGGGGGGGGGTTTGATCTCCTTGAACATGGAAAATATTAAATGTGATACTGTCTTTTTTCATCCCTGTTATATATGTAGTAAATGAAAATGGAGACTTAGAAATGCCACAGTTGTCATATGAATTGGCAAACATAAATAGGTGTAGGTACGAAACATCTGCTAGCCATTATTACCTTCAGCCTTTAGGGATATATTTTAATAGTGTTTTGTGTATTATTCATGTACTCTTTTGGTTTTGTTGCGGTAAATTTGGTCTCTTAATTAAATTTTTTATGTCACTAATATCGTCTTTTCATTTCTTCTCCTCCATAAAGCCTGTGGTGGATGCTTTTGATCCAAGATTGTTAATAGCTCCTCCAATGTTCCATGTGATAGACTTCACCAAAATAAAGGTAGGAATCACCTTTGTTTTGTTTAAACATTAAAGTCCATATTATTTTCTGACCTTGTTTCATTTTTATAGGATCCTGTTGGTGCTGGTAAATTGCAGTCTCTGATCAAACAAGCTGATTTATTTTGATTGTATTCAGTTTTCCATCTAATTGTTGTATTTTAATGCAAACCCAATTCCTTATTGAAACCCTTTTAATAGAAGTCTCAGTCATCTAATAGCTTGTAGTTGTTTTCTTGTGGTTCTCTGGAAGAAGAAATTATTTGAAAAACTACATAAAAAAAGGAATTTATTTTTTCTGGTTATGTAACTGTTTTGTACAGAGTACTGTTGGCCAGGGACTTAATTGGGTTCATCATTCCTTCTGCTTTTTTTATTTTTTATTTTATTTATTTATTATGATTTGAATGCTTGAAGTAAAGTTGACTGTAAATTTTTGACCACTGATCTGATCACTTTTTACTCTGTAGGAGGAAGAGCTGTATGAAATTGATATTCCTCTGAGATTCATAGCGTCTATGGGCACTAGAGTTCATGGGTTGGCCTGTTGGTTTGACGTGCTGTTCAATGGAAGGTACGTATTCCTCTTCATTAATAAGGTTGACCCTATTTTTTTATTAGAAGTTCTGGACTCTGTTCCTATCTGTTAATTTGTTTCTGATTATTACAAATCCACAGTACTGTGCAGAGGTGGCTTACCACTGCTCCTGGGTCACCGACAACCCATTGGTACCAGTTACGCTGTGTTCTCTCTCAGCCAATTTATGTCATGGCAGGACAAGAAATTACTGGAAGGCTTCACTTGATTGCCCACAACGCACAGAGTTACACAATTTATTTAACGTTGTCAGGTTGGTAATTGTGTCTTTTCTTTTCCTTATTATCGCTATACATGCACCATCATGTTAATGAGCATGATTCCAATTTGTATTAGCTAAAATGTGGGGTCCTGGTGCTGAACAAGGAGGAATTCTTCAAACATCATCATGTAAACTTGATCTGAAGGAACCTTACTATAGAATGTCTCAACCGCAAGCTTATGCATTAGCTCAAGATCAGCAGCAACCTCAACCACTTATACAAACACAGGTATTGAATTTATGGTCTCATCTGTTTCTTTCCACTCTCACTTTGAATTGAAATTCAGAGAAAAATTAAATATGGATTTTTTTTAATGTCTACGGAGTTTGTTAGATTAAATTTAGGGGAGAATACAGGACGAATTACAAAGTAGGGAATCTTATACAGTATATTTTCGGTGTTTTGACTAAAGTATTCCCATTGGCATTACTATGAGACTACTCCCTCAAGCATTTGCGACTATTTACTGACCAAGAACCCAACAACTGTTCTCCAAGATTCAAATTTTAGTCTTCTGCGCATATAATTAATCAATGCCAGAACATGAACATAAAAAATTGGAATTTGCCAATAATAGAAATTGAAACAGAATCTAGGCTAGGCCCATGTTGGCTACCTAAGACAGGTAGTCTGTTGGATTAATTGCATCAAATGACTTAACAGCAATCTAATCTTGGATTTGGTTGCCTTTAATATTTATTTCACTGTTTGTGTTGTCAGTGACAATCACTTTCTTTTTCAGGATATACATATTCAATCTCAGGATTTGGATGAAGCCGAAATAGTGCAACAGCCTTCGCCTAATTCATGTGCTCAGATTGATTCACTGATGCAGAATGTATAACCTACCCAATTTTCTGTTTGTAACATGAATTTTGCCATGCTGCAGCAAGTTGGGGGCCGTGTGTCTGTATTTGGACATTCCCCTTGCATGTAGATTCTGTTTAATCTATTGTCCTCGATTGCCTGGCAAACTTAGGAATTTACTTAGCTGGCTGAGCGCTTTGTAAGAAGATCAACGATGCAGAGAATATTCTAGTAGAAATTGCAACCCATACTCAGGTATTAGGTAGAAGTGAAGAGGCGCAAACATGCTCTCTGCTTGTACTACTACTACTCATTCAAAATGGCGCACTTGCCAAGTGAAAGCCAATGTATTGTAATCGAAATCAGATTTTTAATGGAACTTCATTTTAGGTATTTTTTGGTTTGAAAATTTTATATTTCATATTCTTGGCGGTCAAAATTTACTTGAAAAAAAAAAAGAAGCTAAAATTGTCCAAAAAGATTAAAGCTTTGTTTTCGAAGTCTTTCTGCATAACTTGTTGAAGTGGATCCACGTGGTACACTGATAGGGATGTCAAAATGGTTAATATGACCGACTTAAACCAGCTATTTTTTTTTTTTGGTCGTGATGGATCTGTTATGGGTGGTGTTTGATTTTTCTTTGGAAACTCAGAAAATCAATGTTACATTTTGAATTAGTGCTTTTAGAATGTGTATTTTTTCTGTTCAATGAAATTCAACTTTAAAACACACATGTCCTAAGTGGTCCATGGTACATCATAATTTTAAGCCCTTAGGTTATTCTTTATTTTTATAGGTCCACGGCATACCATAATTTAAATCTTAGATCAATCTTTATTTTTATGGGTTGTATCTTACTTTTTGCACTGGATTATGGAAAATTCTAACATGAAGTACTAAAAAATGTGGTACATGGATGAAACAATAATTTTTTTTATCATTGGATATATTATTTAAAAAATGAATGGTTGATATTTGTGACTGGCAACTAGAAGGTTTTGGTTTCCTTTCAAACTCTAACTCCTAAACCCTTCAATTTGCGGCGGTGGAGATGCAAAGCTTCCATGGCCTAAATCTAGGTGAAGGTGATGGAGGTGTAGGAGGGGTGGATGGGGTCGGTGCTGGTGGCGACGATGATTGCTTCTCTTTCCTCAAGACTTGTAGATCCGAGATCCTCCAAGAACTGCGCCACCGTCCTCTATCGCAGCTTACGCGTGTCGATGTCCTCGCTGCCCATGACCTTGCGCGACGCCGATGACGAAGATGACCTTGTCGGCGGTACAGGTGAATTAACCGGTGAGGACGGCGACCAAGTGAAGTTTCTAGGGGATGGTGCTGTGTAGGGGGTGGTGAATTTTTAGGTGGTGGGGACCGTGGCGGCGTGGTGGCCAGAGGATGTGAATTTTGCGTTGGTGGTGATGATGAGTTGTTTGGTGGTGGTGCAAATGGCTATGGTGGTGGTGATGATGGTGGTGGAGATGTATTGTTAGAAGGGTTTGATGGTGGGGCAGTGAAGGGCTTCTTAATGGAACCGGTGCTGACGATGGTGGTAGTGGTGGAGAGCTAGGTGGAACTGGTGGCAGCACCGGAGAAGTTGGCGGCGATGAAGACGGCGGTGGTGATGGTGGAGGTGTTAATGGAGGGGAAGTTCTAGACATGGGAAGAGGCGCTAACAGCAGAGCAAGTAGCGGTGCTATCGGAGGTGGGGTTGATGGAGGCGGTGAAAGGGGAGAAGAGGTTGTTGTGGCAGTGGAGTGGTGGTGGTGGTGGACGGTGAGAGACTAGTAGTGTTGGAAGAGAGTGGTGTTTGTGGCGGTGGCGCAACCATGGATGACGATAGAGACTTTGAAAAGACATTATAAATTAAAAATATTTATGATTTATATTTTTTTTCTTCCGATTTTAATCGGCAAGAATAAGTCAATTTAATGGTATATGAATGAAGCATATAATAAAGTACTTTATGCTAGAAGCACTCATACATTATTTCTCTTCAAACTATGCCCTCCCACCAAACACGTCATTTGCAACTATTCTAGAAAACAACTGTTTACTAAGGAAGCACCTGATAAGATAAGACTTGCAACAAATGACATTATAATTCTACTCTAACTCGGTGAAGTTTTTTTTTTTTTTTTGTCACACATCTCTTTCGTAATTTTCTTTTCTAATAAATTATAATAAAAGTGATTTTTTTTTCTCTCTTTCTCTCATTTCTATTTACACTCAAATAAATAACGTGTAAAGGAATCTCTGACAATATCTTTATATTTTGAAATGAAAACATGCTATCATACTTACTGGTTGAAAAAATTAATTCTTTAAGTTTTAAGCACAGTTATTAACTACGCTTAAATCTACAGGTACTTTTGAAATACAGTTTTAAATTATGACATTAATTATAAATAACTAATTTAACTACTTTTATTGATATTTTATATATAACAAAAGTTGTACTAATTAGTATTTGTTTTTTCTTTTGTGCCTGACGATGAATTTTCTGAGCTTTAATCTTCGCAATAATATTAGACGCGGATAATTTGTATGGAATGCTACGAATAGAGATTGGCAGATTAATGCGTTGAGCACTTGAAGGTAAAATCTGTTGCTGACTTCTACTCCCATATACAGCAAAGGTTAAAACTAGAATGAGGTGCCCCTCTTACCTTATTCCCACTTTGTTGCCCCAAATACAGCAAAGGTTAAAGTTTAGATGAAATTACATGTAGTCGCGCTCAGTGGCATACAATAAATAGTTCAAATGCCACCCGTTCATTATGTTGGCCATTTGTAAGCTAAGGAATAGAATAAGAGCAACAAAAAATTTGACATATACCAGTGAGTTGTGAACAAAATGACATTTTGGATTTCAAAATACCTTTGCTTGTTCTAAAATCTTAACTGACTGCTGCCACTTCGGAGGGCATCTGAAGAGCAACAACATCGTAGCAACGGCTGCAGAGGGTAGGGTGGTCCATAAATGAACCAACCTGCTGTGAATAATTCCAACATCTTTCACACTTTGAACCCACAGCGCGAGATATGCCAATCCAGACTTTATTCTTCCCTTGAATTAGGCATTCACCACTATATGGTATATTTGCAATATGTTCGTCGTTCAATGATGGAACAATCTCAGCCTGTACATTTGTCAACCAATTTACAAGATCATCATATTTATTTGTTCTATTGTTCCTGAAGGCTCATTATGTAAGGACTGCTATGTCAAAAATATGTATCCTAAACTGATACGCACTGAGCAAGATTTTAATTTTGCATACCCTTAAAAACTGCATTTTTCAATTTTCATTATCTTCAACTAGGGATGGGAGACTTGACCTCTTTAATAAAAAAGGTCAAGTTTAAATTTTTAAAAAAGTCTATTTATATAAAAAGATCGCACATAGACTTATAGAAAAGTCTATTAGATTTGATAAATCAGCCTATTTATTATATAATATAATAAAAAATTAATAATATATATTTTTAAAAATATAAATAAATAAATTTATGAAACAAAAATAAATTATCAATATTTAAAATATATTTTTATACAATTTTTTTTCATTGTAGGTTTATAAATTTACGACTTGTACATGAGTGTACATCAACATATATGACTACAAAAGAATTGTTCCTTTAACACAAAATGATTCAATTTTTCTCCTATATTTCTTTTAAAATTCAAATTTTAATAATATTGAATAAACTATATTTTAAAAATATTTTTGTTGTTTTTTAACAATTAAGTTTATTAGCTTAATTAACATTAATAATTTAAATAAATTAATAGAGACTTATAAAAAAGTTTATGATAGATAATAGGCCAAACTTAACTTTAATTTTACAAAACAAATCCAATCTATATATTCAAAATTTGGCATGACTGACCTATTTTCATCCTTATCTTTAACTCAACGGATTACTGAAAGTGAAATGACTATAGACATACCTGAGATGTTATGAACAGACGGTGTAACGTATCAGCTTCATTTTTGGCTTCACATAGTTTCCATAATTGGGATGCCAGCCCAGCATCAGATGTATGGATATGAACCTTTGCATCTAAACTGGCTCCAATTAGTTTGCCTGTTCGAGCAACTTCCAAGACTCTATTCACTTCTGTTCTCAGCTGGCAAAAGAAGTATTCATTTAGTAACAATAACTAACTTAAAATGAATATGTGACGTGATTAATTTCATCATTGTATAGTGTTGCAGAGAGAATTAGTTATAAAGTATTCTTTAGTTTTTCTCCATCCATCTAAGTGTTAACTGCAACCAAATCATTTGACCCTCCAAAAATAGGAGAAAAATAAAACTGAAAAAGTGAGAAAGAAAACAACACTGAATTTAAATTGTAAAAAGGTAAAAAGAAAAATCACAGTGGTCACATGTTTGTTATACAGGAAGAACCAAATCATTTGACCCTCCGAAATTTCACATTTAATGACAGTATAATTGTAATTTTTAATGAAAGAGAAAGATTACTACTGAAATTGGAAACCATTATTTAAAAGAAAAAATCAGTTGTCTATAACTTTCAGACTTCATAATTACTACCTCTTGGATCAAGGAAATTGCTGATGCAATTTATTTGTTTATAAATCAGGAGTATATTACCAGAGATTATATAGTGGAGAACATGTCATGACATTATATTATGTAAAACAAAGATAGTGATTTTGATAGTTATTACTGCACTTTGTATTTTGATCATTTTGAGGTGGTTATATAGCCATGCTCTTATTTATTATCTTATGATGTTTTAATCTATCATCTTTTTCATGGCGAGAAGGACTATCCTCCTTATTGTTCTGTCATGAACGACTTTGAAACATTGATTCAAATTGACACCAACTTATCTTGAAATCTGAAACAGAGAGTACCTCAAGAATATTCTCCCAGAAATTAATTTCTTCAACAGGGAGGGAAAGCCATCTTTCATTCGAGATGGGCCATCTTGATTCAAATACATATTCAGCAACAGAACCATCTTGAGTTATATACTGAAAAGGAAGATTCTGCCACACATCCTCGGCTAAATGGGGCAATATTGGTGCTATTATTCTCACAATGGAAAGGAGATGAGCTGCAAGAACTGTCTGGCAAGTTTTCCTCGTATAACTTGTTGAGCCACTGCAGATTTTAAGCTTATTGAGATGTGTTATGGAATTAAACAGAAACAATTAGGAAAATGCAAAACATTAAGAGAGAACATTAAGCAGAGAGACTCACCCAACATAAAGTCGATCCTTGGCAACATCAAAATAGAAATTTGACAGGTCAACAATGACAAACCTCTGCAAAATCTGAGAATGGAGGAAAAAAATGTAATTTTTGAAAATTAAACAATTAAATTAGAAAATCTCTGCCAAAATGAAATGATTAAGCAAACAAAAGTTGGATATAAAGACTTCCCATGTCACAAACTCGCCAAGCATATACAGCTATGATTATCCCTATAATTCCATTTCATTTTTTCCATTTTTAAGCAACGAACCCTATCCTCTGGTTTTCCCCCTTTTCACCCCAATTATCACCATGAAGTCACTATGAAAATTTAGACATTCATAAACACACATTACATATATAGAGAATGCTTCATGAAGATATAAAAAATTACCTGAAATATTTTAAAAAACTGGTAACTTTCATAATTCCCTTGAATGTTTTTTACAACATTTTCAAGCTGAAAAAGTGCATGTTGATCAATCCTCGGAAGTTCATGGTATGGAACAGTGTATTCCGTCTGTCAATGAGATATAAACAGAGGTATGACATAGTGGGAAAAATATATAAACAGAGATAGGCAAAGATTAATGTGACAATATTATGACATAACCCGGTAACAAGAGGCAGTTACTGCAGACAAAGAAAAAGAGAAGTAATCAATCAAGCAAAGAGGCTTCAACCATAGAATTCAAACTTACTTTCCAATCATGAAGATTTGCCAAGAGGTATCTCAAAGTCCCCCGCAACTTTCTGTAAACCTCAGACATTTGACGAAGAATCTGAGGGCCAATCATCACATCACCTGTATAATCTACACTAGAAACCCATAGTCGGAGGACATCAGCTCCATATGCAGGTGCTTCCTGTGAATAAGACAGGAAAAACCCTTGGGTCATGGCTTTGATAAAAGAAAGATGATAGTTTGATACAATTCCAAGACATATTAGTTTGATGATACTTCAACATAACTAACCTTTTGATTTTTACCTCCTTCAATCACAAATCGTGGATCCACAACATTACCCAAAGACTTGCTCATTTTAAAGCCTTTCTCATCCAATACAAATCCATGTGTTAAGACACTTGAATATGGAGCCTTCCCTGTATCAAACAAGAACGAAAGAGTTTTATAGATAGAACATTAATTGGTAAACTAATAAAATAAAATACTTGGCACAAAAATCATACATAATACAACAAAACAGATTAAGAATAACAATACAGAGATGGAAGTCTTCTAGAACCTTAAATAACAATACAGTTTGCCTAATTACACGCCTTACTATTAGATATAATCTTAATACTTAATTGCCATCAGTTATTTTACATGAATAACTGTCATCCTGCAGTTTCAAATACAGAACCAATGCAGAATTACTAATACTAGACAAGTTATTTTGTATCATGTATACATGGATGGATTTTCCTAACCCACTTGGATCCCGATTGGTTCCCATCATTATCGCCTGTTGAAAAATCAGTCTTGTCCTCAAGGCTGAAAGTAGGAAAAAGCTTCTTCCCTATTCTCTTCATTCACTTGCACAGCAATTA